GGGAGTCCACTGGAATCCTCTGCGATCGAAGGTGCTCCAGAACGCTCAAAGGGAAGGTGTACCGGACAGTGGTAAGGCCTGCGATGCTATACGGCAGCGAGTGCTGGCCCCTGAACAAGAATCACGAAAGGCAGCTTCACTCCGCTGAGATGAGGATGCTGAGATGGGCCTGCGGCTGGACGCGGCTGGACAGGGTCAGAAACGAGGATGTCAGAGCGGTCATGCAGACTGCCCCTGTCCAGCGACCGCGAGGAGCCCCAAAGAAGAGGTGGAAAGACGTAATCAAGAAGGACCTAAGTGAAGTCACGGCCACAGCAGAAGATGCCCTGGACAGAGCAAGTGGCGACGACTGACAAAAACAGCGGACCCTGCGACTGCGCGGGACTAACGCTAGGGAGAAGAAGAAGATGTGAGCGGTATTCGTTCTCAATGGGAATTCTCCCCTCTCTTGGATTTAGTCCTAGTGTCATTTACCATCGGCCCTGTTCTAATTCTAATTCCACTCCCTAGCCATGAGCACCTGGATTTTTTCGGTGGAACATAGCATATTGCTAGTCGGAATGCGGTGGAAGGAGATCGTGCGAGAAGAGATGTGGGAAAAGGATGAGCGTACAAAGTCAGTAATCGATAACGCAAAGGCGGATTGTGCGAAGGAAAGATAGATTATTGAAGGCCGTAACCCGAGAAATGGGACCCTTCCTTGCCCGTTGATTTGCGCATTGATGCGACTCTCATCGCTGTGCCCTCTTCAACGCTAACGCTCTCTCTGCTATCTAATCACTCGCCACGTATAGACCTGCGGCGAGTGATTAGATAGTCGGTGGGCGTTCCCCGCCAACTGCGCCAAGGGAAGGCCATGCTAGATCGCCGGGTCATATCTTCGATGCGAATTGCGTGTTGGTCCGCACCCTTAGGGGTCCGCCTGTCTCTCCACTAGATAACCCCCCCCCCTTCCTCGACTTTTGTTCTTATCTTAGAGTCCTCCTCTAAAGCAGGATCAAACTGGTGTGGTTCTTAGACAGTGATGTGAGCGAATGTGAAAGTATTGGTACGAATGGGCCGATATAAGAGAAAAGAGAAAGGAATCGGTGGAAAGGGCTTGAATTAAGGGCTTACTTTCGCAACGCATCTGTACTGAAAGAGAGGTCGAGCGTGGAGAGGAGAGTATGGGGCGAGAGTGAGCAACAGTTGAGAGATTGCCAGACAGCAGTCTGCTGCGGACGCAGGTAACGCATAATAAACAATCCGCGTTTGAGTTTGCAGAATAGAGGGAAACGATCGATAGAACGATTCATGCTTACCATTGGATTTGCTTTTATGTTTTGCTTAAACGTTTTTGCCGAGTGTAACTTGGTAATTTCATGGTAACTACTAGAGGCAAAAGTTTCGGTTGGAGGCTAATATTGCATAACGGTGTTATCCTCCAACCCAAACTTTGCCCTGGTAGTTACCATGAATAGGTCTCATACAACGTAATTTTTCTTGCAGAAGAAATAGAAATTGCCGACATGGAGGCCTCGACGCTCGACGCCCTCGTTAATTTCTGCTATACTGGAAAAATAAAAATCAATGACAGTAATGTGAGGAGTATTCTTCCGGCTGCTTGCCTGCTACAACTGAACGAAGTTAAGGTTAGTTATTTCCCTCAAATGGCTTGGCTTCGTCGCAGTATTAGATTCGTCCTTCGAATCATAGATCGCGATCAGATTGGGATCTCACACTGATCGAAAATTAGACAAGAAGTCCGAAGAGGAACGTTAGTGGAAGCAGAAGGCGCAGTAGAAAACACTGAGCTTTTCCTTGTGAGATGACCGTGGTATACGGGAGAGACACAACGCTGCCAGGCGAGAGAAATTGCGAGAGAGTACGACGTTCGCGAGAGGGCAGAGGCACTAACAATAAGACACCACAATAAGACGGAAGAATGGACCATAACAGGAGCGTTCCAGGCGGTTAAGCGAAGGCATTAACTCTCTCATAAGTCGTGACGATACCGTGAGTCTTGCGATCGAGAATCCCGCTATCTCACTCAACAAAGCTCCTTAAGAATTTAATGCGACGCAGTGCTACTAAGGCTTTTTCATGACACGCGATTCCTTTTGCTGCGGACAAGGATTTCGAGAGAATGTAATCACGGAAGGCAACGTCTGGTCTGCCCTCCATGAGACTGAATTCGCTTCGCTACCGCGTCGTGCCAATTCCTTGGGGAGAAATCTTAAATTAACCGAAATAGTCACAATCAAGAACTTCTCATGCTGATGTCCATGGATTTCTACAAGCGACAGACAATCTACAATATTATATGTGTACACAGGCAATCGTTGTACAGGGGGGGGGCAAAAAAACATTTTGCCGAGGTCGCACTTCGGCCTTTTTTCTTCGCAGATATTGTCGTCGTTGAGGGATGTTGCTCAGCAAAATATTCTCAGAATCTCCCTCTATAAGTATGCACGCAAGCCTCTCCTTAAGCACGCTTCACGCGTCGTCAGTAATAGGGACTGTCCTGGTTCACCGTCGTCGAGCTCAGGGAGCCTACAGCTAAGCTGCTATTCCGCCTGAAGCTCTCAGCATATTTGCGTTGGGATTAGATTCGGACGGGGATAGATTCCTAGGCGACAGGAGCTGCTAACTATTGCAAAACCGCCCTTGCATAACCCGGAAACCCCCGCCGTAACGGTACACGATCAGTCGAGAACCCATTGACTCGACCAAGGCACCATGTTTCACCAAAAACTTTCTGATGCCGTCCACGTAGATGGCCACTATGAAGATTTTTTATGAAATGAAATGCGCTCTTCAATTCTAAGTTGGGAGCACACGCTTTGAGCTGAGCAAAGTGTGATTAAATCCATTTGAGTCTGGAGACAAAATGTCTTTTTTATTGCCCCCCCCCCCCCCCCCCCGTACACAGTGACTGCCGAATAGATGCACAATCACGGTGGATTAGCCCTGCGAAAAAAACTCAACAACGGGCAGATTGATTGATAAACAGGGTTCGAAAGGACATGATGTTGAATAGACAAGGATAGTAAAAAAATGACATTGTTGAAGGAAACGAGTTCACATTGGTTACGATATTGTACCGAATAATTATTGGTACTTTCATGGAATTTTGTTGTTCAGATTTGTTGTAGGACGTATATGTGGCGAGGTCATGATGAGGTTGTTGAAACCATCGAATTGTTTGGGAATTCGAGCGTTCGCCGATACCTATGCATGCCAGGAGCTTCTTCGCTGCGCTGACAAGTATATCTCCCATAATTTCCAGGTTCTAACCGTTTAGCTGTAAACTCATGGTTTCAGCAGATATTTTGCTTTACTTTTTCAGGACGTTGTTGGTAGTGAGGAATTTCTACAACTTTCTGTTGATCGCTTAATTGAAGTAATTTCATGTGAAGATCTGCATGTACAGTCAGAGGAGCAGGTATCTTGTCAAGTTCTTTGGCAAGAAAATCTGAACCTGCCTATGGTCTCTCTATGCTTATCATTTCGCACTAATTAGCGGAAAGGTATCCTTTCAGGTTTTCGCAGCAGTGCTTGAATGGATTAAATTTGACCTGGCAGCTCGGAAACAGTTCCTCCCGAGGGTAAGGATTCTGTACTCGTCAGTGCTTGACAGCCCTCTGATAGACTGCCTTGTAGGTTTTGGAGCACGTACGGCTTTCGTTCTGTCAGCCAGAATTCCTTGTCAACACGATAGGCAAAGACGAGTTAGTGATGACTGATGTGGCCTGCCGAGATTTCGTCGATGAAGCGAAGGCTAGTGGCGTTTTCTGGATTTGATTGCAGCGTCATGTTGATCGCTACCCACTATAGAATTATCTACTTCTACAACCGTTCACCCATTGAAGCGACTGAAAGTGGAAGCACCTCGAATTCGACCGCGAATACCTTTCAAATGCAATGAGGTATTATATGCCGGTGAGTTGCAGTGCGATAGTTCCCAGTTTTCTTTCTAATTTTCCACCAGGAAAGGGCATGAAAATTTTGGCATGTATGAGGGAAAATATCAAGATTAAAGGCAGAGTTCACGATCAGAAGGCAGCCCGTTGGAACAAAGGTAGAGGTGGTCAGTAGTGTAACCATGCAAAACCATGAAAAACTGCCTAAAACTGTAGAAGTGGATCCCTATCTTGCCCACTCATTTCGATGGTACTGATGACGGTATTCTCGTTGACGCTGCCCTCTTCCACGCTAACGCTCTCTCTTCTCTCTGCAAATGGCGGCTAGAGCGAGTGGTTGGCCACTCGGTGAGCACCGATAGCGCCGCGGGTAGGACCATGCTAGGTAGCCGGGGCATATCCTTCGCTCGTGAATTGCGTGTCGGGGTTCGCAGGGGTCGGCCTATCTCTCCACTAAGTAAGTTTCCACTTTCCCATCTTCGATCTTATCGTGGAATACTCCTTTGAATGGGAGGCTGATTGAAGTCGCGCAGTCTCTGATCGAGGTAAAGGGTCGATGGTGTTGAAATTTGTAGTCTCGTTCAGTCAGTACTCCGTTATATGATAAATTATAATCGAATGCGGCCTTGCACATTGGGTAACCTGGAAAACAGGACTAATTTTTAGTCACTGCATGGAACACATTCAGTGATGGAAGCTGCTGAACTATGCGCGATTCAGTGTTGTAACATATTGCAATTCACTGAAATTAGAAGCATATGCTAATCTTTCTGAGACTTTTGAAATGACTGCTGAATATAACACTGTCACGTGATCTGTGTAATATTCAGTTGGAGGAGCAGTCAATGGAGAGGCCCTCTCCTCCGTAGAAAAGCTTGATCTTCGAGTAGCCAATCCGAGTTGGGTACGCGTTGCTCCCATGAGCAAGAAAAGGTACGGAATCTTTTACACCGAAGATGCTCAGGTTCTCCAATACAACCATCTCTTTCTGTAGGTCTTCAATTGGTCTCACTTCTTATTTCGAAAGGCTCTACGTTATTGGCGGCTATGATGGGCAAACGTCTTTAAGTAGCAATGAGAGGTATTTTTTATGTGTTGCGTGACAGTCTATCTTCTAGTTTTTTTTACTGAAAAATTGCTAGGTATTTAACAATAGCAAGATGGCTCTATCTGACAGTCCTTCTGTCCGTTTTTCTGTTTCTCCGTCCGTATGTCCCTACTTCCTGTCTGCCCTGGAATTTGGCGTCATGCAAAAAAACTCCCGAAAAAGTAGGGTCAATATTGCGATGGCTGAGATAAGGTACAGTAAACTCGCAAAGCCTACCTACACAATCCTACCCAAGCATAATTCAGTTCCTAGGGCTCGGTAACCTGGGAAATCCGCGATGTTCGTTCGAATACTTCGGAAATTTGCGCGGATACCGCGAAATCGCGGTGTTTTACGTTTGTGTAATAAGTCGGTTTAGAGTCGAGTATTCCACAGACTGAAAATATATTCAAATTCACTATCAGCTCATAGCTCTCTTCAAGGTGATTTTTGAAGCTTCGGAAAAGTTCAATTCCAAGTGCGCCATGTACTCGAGTTCTACCTCGAAAGCTAATCGAATGTAAGCGATGCTTAAATGATCCTACTTATGCAAGCTGATCGCTCTATAATGTCGAACTTTTAACATTGGCTCAGTGATACACCTGGTTCTCGATTTCATCCAACACATTGTGGAACTGATTGAATCTAGTTCTGTGTCCAGTTTCTTAAAACCTGGGTATGCCAAGTTTGCTTCTGTTATGCTCTCCAGGTTTGCTGTGGTGGAGCTCTTTACTGGACGGCATTCCGAACAAGTCGTCGTTTTCAAGACCTAAAACTGGTTCGAAGCTCTAGCTTGTGGAGCTTACATCCCCATTTTGCCAATTGTTTTCCCAGTGAGTTACAACAAAGATAAATATTCCAGCAAAGAACGAACTACTTCGGTTCCATCAGTTTCAGACCGCCACATGACTCCGTTAACGGCTGAGGAAAAATGAGGCATTCCTCACCAAACGTATAAGTACGTGCCAGTACCGCAGGAAATCTCCATACGCAGGCGCCAGCGCCACAGCTCGCGAAGCGACCAGCAGCTAGTTTAGAAGGTGCGAAAAACGAGAATAGAGTACTATGCGTGCAAGTCGTCGTAGCACACATGAAGGCTCTACGCAATTGTGGAACTTTTCATCGTTACCTCCCTCTTTCGATGAGTCATCTCTACAAAACCTAATATTTTCAAAAAATCCATTCCCACAACTAAAAACTGATTCCGGATTCCCACGTGACGAGAGGAGAAGATGAGCGCAGAGGGCTACACGTTTGGTCATTATGCGCTTCACAATAAAACAGAAATCTGGCGTTTCAATAAAGAGTCAGTTGGGCTCACGAGATACTATGTATTGAGCGGCAGAAACGTGGCGCTTTCTGAGGCATGTTTTGAACATTCCTTACTTTAGAGCGACCAGCTTGAATAGTAGGTTCATAAGCGCATTGCTTACATTCACTCAGCTTCCGGGATGGAACTTGAACGCATGGCGCATTCTAAAAGTACTGCCTTATAAGATCATCGACGAACTAAGCTGAAACGGTGCTTGATAATTTTTGAAAAGGTCCTCCATATACGACTAATATTAAGCCACGAAAACCGCGACTTCGCGTATCGTGAGAATTGCTAAAGAATTTAGGATGAGAAATAGGTAGGACTAAGAGCGAGCCGAAACACATAAAAGGCAAGAGGTAATGGATTTAAGTATAGAATGGAGAGGGCTTCTATCCTAAATCGAAGATTACAGTTCGTTCATTTGTGTACACCCACAATCATAAGGCCCATGTCAAACTTTGCGAATCGAGCGATCGCTAGCGTCTGCCGTTACGTTGCGGTACCAGCGAATAGAGCGATTCGCTGTCCGCGCGCGCGACCGCGGACGTTTACGAATCGCTCGAATTCGCAAAGTCTGACATTAGCCCGAGAATTACGACACCAGCAAGCTGTCGTTAGCAATTTTTGGTGACGACATGCGCAAAGGACCTCACACCCCGAACAACCATTTCTGAAGAAGAAAAAAACAAATTTCGATTCACCTTTTCATTTCATTCGATGAGGCTTCTTCCGCATTACACAGTAGGTTTTTGTTCCTGAATTTGTTTTATAATATTCCTGAAAAATTTACTGAAATTCCATGCGGCCGTAAAACGTAAAACATGCGCGGTCTTCAACGTCGTATGGTAACAGTTATCTGTAGGACATTGGGAGGCTTCTAGCCAGTGCAGTTTTTTGAAAGGATAGCGAGAGATGTTACTATACATACATTGATTCCGCAAGGTATCACTATTCTCTGATTGGAACCATTTCTCCATCTTTTTAAGTCGTCTTTGCTGCGTTCTTTTTCACCATGATAATAGAGAGTCCATTTCACCTGTAGTTTTATTGGTCCTTAAATTGTCCACAACTCTTTAGATTGCTTTGGATGGAATCGATTGATATTCAGATTTGATTCTGGTACTAACCAGTGGTCGAATGACATTCGTCCAACCTCCATGGCACGGGCTGCATGTGGTGTGGCTACAGACTACTGGCATATTTATGCAGTGGGCGGTCACAACACTGTAAGTTGCTTGGAGGTAGTTGAAAGGTAAGAGGAGATGGAACCAGATCTGGTTCATGTTGTTATGTACCCTGTTATTAGCTACGACATTCATCGAAATGAGTGGGCCGATGTGGCACCGATGAATGCACGCCGATGTGGGGTATCTGTCTCCTTTCTTAATCGTGGTTCTTTATACGCTGTCGGAGGATCAGACGAAACATCCGTAATAACTTCGTAAAGAGTGGTGTAATTTAATGCGCGCCTAATTTAAAGGCAAAAGTCAGGCTCGTGTTTGGGCATTATGGCGCCTGAAATTGAGTGTAGAGATGGGAGGTGGAACGACAGTGAAGAAAAAACGAAAAAGAAACCGTCGACAAGACCGAAATCGAAACCCCTTCCCACTAGCAGTGAAGGAGGCTTGCTCGGGGAGAGCCACGTCCAAACGAGTTTTCCGGATATGCCAGCCGTTCCATCGGTTGATACGGCAATCAACCTAGCTGATCTCACACGTTAGGCCAGCCACGCACCACATCCCGCGGTGGGCGGGACCAGCTGATGAAACGAACCCATCGCTGTAAGTAGTAGGCCAGAGGCCTTGACGGCGCGCAATCTCGAGTCAGGAGTGTGGCATCACCCCTCTGAGCGCATTCCTGGAAATATTAGTGATGGAAAGGCCTTCTATGGGCACCTAATCCTGACTCGTGGCTTTAAGTACTGACTAAAATTTTTGGATTCTGGTCTTGTAATAAGGTGATCCCACTAAAAAGTTACTTCCTAGAAGAAAACGCGCATTATCCTATAGATTTTGCAGCATCTTTGCTTATGGGAAGGGGGTCTCGATTGTGTAAGGCAGAATTCACGATTGAAACGGTTAGTCATGAAAGAGTGTCGGTAGAGTAGGCGATGATGTAGAAACCTTTAAAGCAACAGTCCCAGCAGGGTGGGCGTGGTCGGAAACGGCTGCAATCCCCTCGGCCGATTCCCACTTCGGAGCTGTTCAGCCCCTAGTCAAGAACGTAAGAAGTGTGACTGAACAAAAACTCACCTTGGAAAGCCGCTAGGCAGGGAGCTGAAGTGGGCGTGGTCGGAATCGGCCGAGGGGATTGCAGTCGTTTCCGACCACGCCCACCCTGCTGGGACTGTTGCTTTAAGGGCGACGAAACCCGAGAAATGGGACCCCTTCCTTGCCCGTTGATTTGCGCATTGATGCGACTCTCATCGCTGTGCCCTCTTCAACACTACGCTCTCTCTGCTATCTAATCACTCGCCACGTATAGACCTGCGGCGAGTGATTAGATAGTCGGTGGGCGTACCCCGCCAACCGCGCCAAGAGTGAGCCATGCTAGATCGCCGAGGTCAAATCTTTCGCTGCCAAATGCGCGTCGGCCAGCACCTTCAGGAGCTCCGCCTGTCTCCCTCCAATGCAATTTCCCCTTCTTTGACCTTCGTTGTTATCGTGAATTCCTCTTCAAAAGGCCAAAATGTGATTCGTCTTCTTCCGATACACACTTGTGTTTGAGCTGCCCTCTTCCTGTGACTCGTTCTGCTGTTTCTGTTGGTTGCTGATTGAGATGAAGGTTTATTCATAAATAATCCTCCTAGGTTAGAAGCTACTATCGGAGGTTTCCACTTTTGCCAAGGCACCATTTACGAGCTGATATCAATTTTTGTCATCCATCAGATATGTTCCCGTCCACCCCCTCTCCGTATCGAAGAGACAACTCATCACTGCTGCTGGGCGACGTCCTGCCAATTTCACTACACTCGCGTTTTAGTGCACCCCTATCAAATCGTATCAGCTGTTATCAATTTTTATCATGTTCTTGTCCGTTCCTCTTTACCATATCCTAAAATCTACTTGTGATGACTGCTGGTTTGCGCATTATGAATTTTGTGCAAACACACACAAACAAATTATACTCGATATCGGTGAGTTGGGGTAGGCGTGTCACCGGAAGTGACGTGCACTTGATAGAAACTATGTGGATAAGCTGCTTCCAACATACATCGCTGGCTATCAGCAAAGCATGCTGGCAACAGCTTATCCACGCACTTCTATCAAGTGCACGTCACTTCCGGTGACACACCCACCCCAACTTTCGGATATCGACTGTATGTAATGAGCCGTGGAGCAGGCAGTTATACAGAAGGCAGCCCCGCCCCTCTCTCATTTCGAGAAGAATCCTTGTTCAGGGCTTCATCGACGGTTTTCTTTGCTTCCTTTTTCACTCTTAGTCAAACTCGTCATCCACAACTCCAATATTGACCGCTATGACCCCACAAATCGATCGTGCGGTGTGCCTTCGAAGCTTCCACGAGAAATTTGGCAGACTCTGCGGCTATCTTTTCATTCACTTCGCTTTTTAACCCACATCTCCCTGATGAAATATTGCATTCAGTATGGGCTCAGTAACAATCTTTTTTGGAGCCAGAAATACGTGTAACACAGGTATCTATAGGTCTTCCTTACCTTGGCCAAATGCTGTAATGAAGACGTTGTAGTAACACTTAAAGGAATCTTCCACGGAAAAAGCTCCGCCTCCATTACCACAGAAAAACGATACCTTAGGCCCCTAGCCTCATGAGCATAGCAAAAAGAACGGAACATAAGCGTTAGTTTCGATAATACTAATCCTACACACAAGACAAAATGATCACTCTTTCCGTGGAAGATTCCTTTAAGGTATCGTTTTCTGTGGTAATGAGGGCGGAGCTTTTTCCGTGGAAGATTCCTTCAATAAATATTGGTGTTGAATAAAAAAACCAAAGAAATTAGAAAAAAAACCTAAGCGAAAAACAACTGAGGTGCTTCAGGAATCGTTTCAGGCTAGACTCACGAGAGGGTAAATGGGAGTACGTCTGTCCGATGTCAACACAACGAAAATATTTGGGAACTGCAGTGATCGATGACTGCTTGTACGCAGTTGGAGGACGAGATGGCTCCAACTGCCCACTGAGTTCGGTAGAGAAATATGACCCACGCAATAATAAATGGACACCATTGGCTCCGATGAACAACGCACGATCTGGTGTGAGTCCGTGCACTGTATGATATTTGATATGCCATTGGATGAAGATGGTGTAAGATAAATAGAAAAAGGTTTCGTTCGTAGGTGCCACTAGCCTCTGTCGTGAGTAAGCAACTGTACGCAGTGGGTGGATTTGACGGCATTGCCTATCTTGATACTGTTGAAGTGTTTGATCTTGAGGAAGAATCAGTGGAAAGCACCACAGTCGCTTGAACGATCGGTTAGTTGTTACCTACTATCCGGGGGCTGGCTTTTCCAAGGTGTTCAGTTGCGAAAATAAGTATGATTTGAACATTTTAGCGACATCGAAGCTGCGTGTGGATGTTCATCTTTATTCGTTGACTATGTTCGCAAGCAAACTCGAGGTTTGATACTGGAAAAGCTACATCATGGTTCACGCACCTCTTTTCGTACTAACCTCGATCTAAATCTTGCAAATTGTTAAATTGTAGAAAATTGAAGTTTTTCGCCCTGTCATTTACTGTTAACGGGTTTCCACTAGCATGTTTTCACTATGTGATTTGTTAATTGGTGATTCTTGTTTGTGCCTTTTCTGGAATTCTACAAACGAATTTCACCATGATTCTGTAATGTCAGTCTTAGAGGCATAATTAAAATATCAAAATTTAAGTTCTCAGTATTGTGCTGTCCCGGAGCCTCATCAGGACCTAAATGTTATAAAACACAAAGAGGCACCAAAATTTATTTCAAAAGAGTCCCAAAAGTTCACAAATTATTCGAAAAACTCCAAAATTCCAAAAAACACGAAAGTTTCAAAAAGAACTCCTTTGAAATCTTCTGCTATATTTCGGTGTTTAACACCTTCTTCAGGCATGTGTATGCCTCAGCCAAGGATTTAGCTGCCCTTACGGATGCACAACGGCACGGCTCCCGTAAGGGCAGCTAAATCCTTGGCTGAGGCATACACATGCCTGAAGAAGGTGTTAAACACCGAAATATAGCAGAAGATTTCAAAGGAGTTCTTTTGAAACTTTTCGTGTTTTTTGGAATTTTGGAGTTTTTTGAAATATTTTGCGAACTTTTGGGACTCTTTTGAAATAAATTTTGGTGCCTCTTTGTGTTTGATAACATTTAGCAAATTGATTCA